CGGGACAGCTCACAGAAGCTGACAAAGGTAAAATGAGGCTGGGAAAGGAGAGTCAGTCCTAGACCTCACCCAGGGTTTATAGGCTTTTGCCTTCCTTAGAAAAAGGAATCAGGAGTAGTAAGGAGAGAAGTAAAAAACAGATTTTATCTGGAGGACTTTAGAGGATAGGAAAGGAGAGAGAGCGAAGAGAGAGAGAGTAACACAGTGGCTCCTCCAAAGATGGAGAGAGCCTCAGTACACATTTAAAGAGGGAAGATGCAGGTGACACATGTGCTCTGGCACCACATGTGCTTGGCCATGTGGGCACAAGCAGCACATGGGCTCAGACAGCATATGTGTGCTCTTCATTTGTTCAAAGTGGCTTTTATAGGGTTTCTCCAACCTACCCCACTGTGAGGATTTCTAGCTAGGTAAGAGTTCATTGCTAGGATGGTTGCCAAGAGGGGTTGCCTTGGTCTGGAGTTTCTATGGCAGAGGTGGGGATTGTTCTAGTGTCATAAAACTTCTAAAGGTCCTAAATTGCAGTGTCTGTCTCTGCTGAAGTTTGTGTCTTTGTGTGGTCCAGCCTCCACACTGTCACTGGTGTCAGGAAGATCTTACCAGGCCCAGGCCTTAATTCTTGCAGCTTCAGTGTTATTGGATTTATTACTTCTCAGAAATTCCATTGCCATGGGCCCTCTCCTATCTATTTGGCTGCGTCATTGGAGTTAAGTCCAGGGGAGATGAGGTTCAAATTTCCTAGAGTCCTCTCCCTGTGCTGGTGGTGGTTGGGGGTGTAAATCACATAGGAGAAGCTTCAACCTTCATCAATGAGTTGTGACATGTGTAAATTTCTATTAGACAAGTTCATTAAAGATTCAGTGTCAGGGGTTTTGCCTAGGAGCTGGTAACATAGACACCCAATACTCAGGATCTTCCGAAGTTCTATATTTCCAGAAGGAGAGCAGTCATTTTAGCATAATCCACTGTGTATATATGAACAATTTAGGCATGAAAATATTCTCATTATTTCTAGAAATGGTGGAATCCTCTCCTAACTCTCAGTTTGCAGATGCAGCCAAGGGTCAATTTTAAAAGCAGGTTCTTGGTAGAAAGTGATGCCAGAACTCCCATGTTAACTCATTTTGTCATAGCTGTGCTTTCCTCTCTACCAAATTTTGCTAAATGGCCTTTAGCTAGGTATACTTTAACTGGTAAGAGACTGTATCCTATATCCATGGAAGGAGACCCTAAGTATTTGAATTGCTTTGTGTTTTTCAGTGTAGTGTGGATGCTTCTAGAACCAGTGTCCCAATTGGTACAAAACAACTGTTGTGGGCCAAAAAGTGGCTTAGATGGTAAAACATAGGCCTTGAGATCTGATCTTCGGTGCCGCATGAACCCCTCTTCCAGCCCCGTCAAAACAAAGGAATCTCCCATTCTGTTCTTTCTCCCTTTGAGTCTTAACAACTCTGTTCCAACTCCCCTAATATATCACCATAAAACACTCACCATAGATATATTTCATTGAAATTTGCCACATCTTTGAGGATACTCTCAGTTTTTGTCCATTCTCTGGTGCTCTACTGGGGTGAAGAGTTAAGCATTTTGTACCTGGGATATAGTTCAGTGGTAGAGAACAATGCTTATGTACAAAGCCCTAGATTTCATCCCTGGCACCATATATTTTTTTCTAAAATTTGGATAATTTGTTTTTCCCGTGCTCACACTTTGCGCCTGCTTTTAGATGTGACAATAAAAGTAACACCTAAGCATGACTCATATCACCAGATCTTTGGAAGTCAAAAACAGAAGTAACTTAGCAACAGCACAGGAACATTATCACTCCAGTTCCAAGGCTTTGTATTTCTTCTGTAATGAAAGCTGTTCATGCCTAATGCTCTGAGTCCACTATTGAAAGGTGCATAATAGCTTCACAGTCATTTTCACTTTAATACAGTAGTTAGTAATGCAGCTTCAGGAACCTTGTGTGTAAAAGGCTCCCTATAAAACCAAATAATGTAACATTATTCTACTCCAATTATTTTCCCTATGGATGTAATTTACTTATCGTAGTTAGTAGTTGCTAAAGTGTTTTCTGCCAGTGTAAAAGTTGGAGAAATGGAAATCAGTCTAAATAACACTATTCCTTTCTAAAGGCTGCCATACAAATTACAGCAAATTTGTTAGCTTAAAACAATAGAAATTTATTCTATCATAATTGTGGAGGCTAGAAATACAAAATCCATATGTCAGCAGGACTGTGCTCCCCCTGAAATCCTAGGAAAGAACTTACCTCTTCCTACTTCTGGTGGCTCTCTGCAATGTTTCTTGGGCATTCTTTAACTTTTTAAAAACATTTTTTATTTTATAAAGTAGTTCACAATATTTGATTACATTTAATATTCAAACACCAATCCCACCACCATTACACCTTCCCACCACCATATTTCGGCCAAACCCAAACCCCTGCCTCAAAGCAGAACTGAAATAATATATTTTGTATTGTTTGTTATGAAAAACTGCTGAAAATATTACAAAAAAGTTTCCTTAGAGGAAAGAGTGTGAAGATTGTTGTATATCACCGAGGGGCCATTAAGCCCTTCTATAAGAGATCACTAACATGTTGTTAAAGGCTGAGCCTTATATATATCTGTAAAAAAATGTCAAAGTGGATAGCACTGTAGCACTGTCCTCCTGTTGTTCATCAGTTTGCTAGAGCGGGCCAAGTAACGTCTCCATTGTGAGACTTGTTACTGTGTTCGGCATATCACCAATAGCTTGCCAGGCTTTGCAGTGCGTGGTACTCTCAGTAGCTTGCCTGACTCTCCAAGAGGGGGGAGGAACCGAACCTGGGCCGACCAGGTTGGTCACATGCAAGACAAACGCCCTACCCACTGTGTGGGCTGGAGCAATAGCACAGTGGTAGGGCATTTGCCTTGCATGCAGCCAGCTTGGCTGAGCTGGGTTCAATTCCTCTGCTCCTCTCGGTGAGCCCAGCAAGCTACCAAGTGTATCTCGCCTGCACGGCAGAGCCTGGCAAACTGTCCATGACGTATTCGATATGCCAAACACAGTAACAACAAGTCTCACAATGGAGACGTTACTGGGCCCTCTCGAGCAAATCGATGAACAACGGGAGGACAGTGACAGTGTAAAAAAATATTTTCCTCTAAGATTGGTTGCCTCCTACTTTGAACACCATAAAATGTAGTGCAGTACTTTTGGAGTATGGGTAGGGTATGTGGTATGAAGTGTTGAACCAGGAATAGGTTCACTCATGATGAGGCTCACCCAAGTATGTGGAGAACAGCCATGAGCATGGTGGCGGTTGAGTTCTGGAGGTTTTGGGCTGCTAGATCTGGGTCCTAATTCTTTAACTTATAGCTACATCATTGCCCCATCTTTGTTTCCACCTTGACCTGGGTTGCTTCTCCATATTTACGTTAGCATCTTCCCCCTTTTTAGTGAGGACATCATTTAGGGCCCATCAAACTCAGTATAGTATGAAACTCTTGACCAATTATGATATGACCAAATCCAACTCCTAAACAAGTCCACATTCTAACTTTCCAAGTGGACAGGAATTGGGTGGTGGTGGTGGTGGTGGGGAGAAATAATTCAGTCTGCTGTAACAATATATTCACCTGCCCCTGCAGAAATACAGGAGGAGTTCAAATCATTTTCATTCCAATAGCTTATATAGTAGAAGTCATAGGGAGCTTTGTGGATGAGACACCAATTCTCAAAATAAGTGTTTCACTTGCCTAATTGAAAATAATTTTTAAAAGAGGAAATACTGTTATTAAGGTATTCATGTAGATAATATTAAGACTGGGAAATGCATTATGTTTCTCGGCATTTTTTGAAGTACTGGCACCTCATGAAAAGTCCGTAGCTAGTTACTAATAAATTGGTATCTAATAGGAAATCTATTTTTTCCAGGAATATTTACAGATGAAGCCAAGAATGCATAGTAGTTATATATCTTTGGGTATACAGTAAGAAAAGTCAATCTCTCAGAGTTTGACTTAAAGGCATTTTGCCATAGTGTAAACAGCAGGGGCTTTGATGCAGGGTCGGATTTCTATTCAAGTCCCATTGACCCTGTTGTGATTGCTTCTGAATCATAAATCCCTCGGCTGTGAAATGGATAGACAAATATTTCTCTCAATGAAGGCTGGAGTGATAGTGCAATTTTTGCATGCAGCTGACCTGAGTTCTGTCCCCAAAATCCCATATGTTGCCCTGAGCACTGCCAGGAGTAATTCCTGAGTTCAGAGTAAGGAGTAACCCCTGAGCATTGCCATGTGTGCACCAAAAACAAACAAATAAAAATACTTCTCTTAATGATCCAGGTGACGAAGATGAAATGATGAATAATGTTTGCAAAGAACAGACATACAGAATAAATCAATTAATTAATACTGAATAGAATGGTGGCTTAGCACACTCTGTTTATTTTTGTGGTTTCCTATCAGTTTATGCTGACCTACTTCTAATATGCCTATAACACATTTTGAGGAGGTCATTCAAGATACCCTCCATAAATGACTCGGGGCCTCTAAACTAGAAGCTAGCTACTTATTCATAAAATATCATTGAAATGGGGCAGGGGGGGAGAAGAAAAGTTATGTGCTCCAAGGGGCTGGGATGCAGACAAATCCAAGACTATGTCAGTACCCTGTGCTTTACTGCTGAGCCATATTCTGCACCCAAAAACTAATATCTAAGTGAAAACAACCTGGTCATTATAGAAGAATTTCTGAGCAATGTGCATAGGACATTTTCATTTAACATTTCTGGGCCTTTCCTAATACCAACCCATTTAAGAAGAGGAGCCCACTTAAGCTTGCTCACCATATTATCTTGTGTCTTCATCAGATAAATAATGATATAACTACTATTGCTACTCAGGTGAGTGCTCAGATATTCTCCATTCGGGAAAGAGACTCAAAAAATGACTTCTTGACCAAGAGTCTCTTCTTGGACTTGGCTTGCTTCCATAAAAAGTGGAAACAATACTTACCTCGTAAGGGAGATACCATGGTTGCAAAGGTGGTTTTCACAAGGTGAGGCTTATCCTCTGCACTCCAGATGTGCTGATTTCTGTGATTTCTCCAAACGTGGAAAACTTTACTGAATAATTCATGGTAGTGGGAGAATTGTGTTTGTGCTTGTGCTCTGCACTGACAAAAAAAGTGAAAACAGAAAACATTTATATATACATATATATTTAAATAGGGGTCACTTCTGGCAATAGTTTGCCCTATGCTACCATCCTCAAGGATCACCAGGGCCACACCTGGCAGTTCTAGGGATTTGGGTTCATCTATCTGGGGACATGAGGTACTGGAGATGGAATTTAGATTCTCACACATGCTAGGTCTTGACACCAGTTCATCCACATCTCCAGTCCTGGGAAACATTTTTTAAAAAATGAAAACAAGATTCTCAGTAGTGTCATTATACACAGTCAAAAATTTCTCCCACTCTTTGCTAGTTAGTTATTCAACTAATAGTAAAGCCCCTTGATAGTACATTGGGATTTAGGGGGCCACATTTCAGGATGGGATAGGAACGAAGAACGAGTGGATGGATGCTATGAATCGAAAACTTCTGGTTGCCTTTGGCTTTTGTAACACATTTACATTGATTCAATAGTTTAGAACTAAATGAATTCCCTCTAAGAACATCCTCATTTCTCCTTAGAATATGGGAATATCAATGTGAGTGTCCATCTTATTGTTGTCTTTGAACTTAAGATCTCACTCAGGTGCTGGGGTGGTGGGGGATATGGCAAATATACATTATTTGTGAGAGCCCGAGGTGATCTCTGGCACCACTCAGTTCCCCAGCACCACCGGGTGTTTCCCCTTCTCCCAAATAAACTTGTTCAGCACACTACTGCCATTTTGTTTTTCAATATTTGTTCATTCAACCATACAGACTCTGCCCTCGGCCTTCCTAAGACTCTAGTGGACTTTGCTTATGGTGTGAGTCTTTTGTTTTGTTTGATCTGGTTGTTTTAGTTAATTCCTAATCAAGTTTTGATATTATATTAAAGAGAAAAGTCAAAGAATAATAGAAACTCAAGGGAGATAAAGTCTAAATGCTTTAGATCAAGTACCTCCTATGTCTATGTGACTTTACATCTATGTGATCAGCAAGTTTTGAGCTTATACAAAAGGGAAAATATCAAAGAATAATAAAAGTCCAAGGTAGCAAAAGTATATAGATATAGATAGTCCTTTTATTGTTTCCCTTATACCATTTCTTCAAAATTGTAATTGAGACAGCATTAAAGTATACAGTATCAGGGCACTCTACATGTTGAGCAATTTCCTTCATTTTTATCCAATCTGACTTTCCTGCAAATGTACAGTATTAGGGCACTCCACATATTGATCTGTCCTCTTCCACTTTTATCCAATTTGGCTATCCTGACAATTCTATGCAATCTGACCAAAAGTTTTCTTTTAAATTGCGTCGACATTTAAAATGATCTTTCTATGAATCTTTTAAATTGGTCTTGCTCTGAGTCTTCCTTATATTCTGTCTTTTCGTATCTTTATAAATTCAGGCATCTTAATATATTTGAAGATTTTGACTCATTACAGTTATTATTCTTATTGAGACTTAAATTGTCCCTTATTTGGTCAATGTGCTCTTTCAAGTTGGCTGCTAGGTCATTTTGACATGACCATATTAGTCTTTATTAGCTTCATTCTTTATAATATGATAAGATGTTCCAGTATAATTGTGCAAATTTCCTTACTAAGGCAAAGAAATAGCCATGGCTCATTTTCAATTGCTATTAAAAATCATGTTGGGAGAATTTTCCTTTATGGTATGATATGCTTTTAGCATGGCTTTTTGTAGACAATATTAAAGTAGATTTTAATATATGTATATATATACATATATAGGCACAAATACTGCTGTTATATGGAAATAATCCAAGTTAACATTTTAGTTCCTGGAACATCTTTCCATTTAAAGCTCTATGTTTTTTTCTCTCTTTTTTTCTAAACAGTAGGGGGAGGTAATAGATGGAAAGCTTTAAGCAGGGAAAAACAAGTTAAATAAAGCTATTTTTTAAATCCTAGTATTGACTTTTACATATTAAGAGCAAATGAACTTTAAATTTGAGTAATTCGGATTTTTCAAAGGATGTTTTGCCACCATTGTCTGCATAATTGCAAGAATGTATTGGAATGCAAACAGAACTCCATATATGCAACGGAAATGAAAAATCACCAAAATTAAAAGTCATTACTAAGCCAGAGTATTTTTAACTTGTCAGCTGATCTTTTGTAGTACATGCAACACATCTTTATTATCTTTAAAGCTGGTATTTAAATTGATGGAGAATTATCTAAACCCATATTTCTGTTAATGGGCTTGTAGTCCAGCTCCAGTTAAAGATTTGCCATTGTTCCCAGGAAAAGGACAGTTTTAGAGCTCTTTAGTAGCTTAAAAGAAGAAAAATAAGAATGGTGACTTCTTCTTGCTTTATAGCACTTTTAAACATAAGGTAGAAAGCAATGTCATTCACAAGATAATAAGAGCAATCTATTTAAGGGCCTTTAATATCTTTGTTTCTCCCAAGCGATTCCGATGGGAAAACAGCCTGACAGTCATTCTTCTGCCCACGTATCAGCGATTTCACTTTACCTTCACTCTCGGACTGAAAGAGGACTGAGATTGCCGTTTCAATGGGAGAACAGTGACTGTGACAGTTTTTGCCCAGAAATGCTTTTATGTTCCAGGGATTCTTTGCATGTACAGGAATATTTTCTTTTATTTGTAGTTTGTTTACAGTTCAGTCCATTACATTGTGAATTTATTGGATATTTAGCATTCTTTTAAACATAAAATAGCAAACATCCCTGAGTAGTTCTGTAAATGCAAAGCAGAAATAAGAAGAACCTGGGAGTTTGTTAAAAATACAAATGACTTTAGGCTCCAACACTGACTGACTCACTGAATCCAAAACACAACTGTGTTTTTATTTGTTTTTTGTTTGTTTTTGTTTTTGGGCCATACCCATGGATAAGCAGGAGTTACTCCTTGTTCTGCACTCAGGAATTACTCCTGGCGGTCGGTCCTCAGGGAGACTCTGTGGGATACTGGGAATTGAACCAGGTTGGCTGTGTGGAAGGCAAGCACCCTACTCACTGTCTCTCCAGCCCCTGACTGTGTTTTTAATAAAAGTTTCTGGTAACTTCTGTTGCATATTCAAGTTCTAGAAGCATTTAAAAAATATTCACATACTACTAATGCAACCAAGAAATCAAATACATATTAAATGAATGAAAAGTCTCATACCATTTCAACATTAATTGCAAACTTAATCAAATGCTTTTAAACTTTTGACATAATCACAAGCACAGCTTTCTGATTTCCTTGAATGCACGAACATGTTAGAAAAGATACACATTAAAAGACTATTAGTCAATTTTTTAATAACAAAATTTGGCACAACTCTATTAAGATAGTTATTTTTGTTTTACATTCTCATCCCTACTTTGTTTTTTGGGTCACACCCAGCCATACGAAGGACTTACTCCTAGCTCTGCAGTCAGGTATCATTTCTGACAGCAGTCAGCAGACCAAATGGCATGCTGGGGATTGAACCCTGGTCAGCCATGTGAAGGCAAGTACTCTACCTGCTGTACTATCTCTTCAGTCCCCTAATTCTATTCTTAACCTCATAGGGATCTGAAATTTAAACCTCCTTATATTTATGGGTTGTCAGGAAATCTAAGATATGGTTTTTACACCTTTTCAGGGCTTGTGCAATTTTATCAGACTGGAAAGAAAGAAAAACTATGTCAGGAGGTTAGGAATGTAGGTTAATGATTGCTGAGCTCTTAATTTTGGTTGGTTTGTGGGACCTGGCTGCTAAGTTTAAAATGATTTAAACTCAAGTGGTTGACCTTTGGCTGAATATCTTTTCATCATATAGTTTCCTTTTTTTTTATTATTGTGGGCACTATATGGATTTCCTGTTGCTGCTTTTACCACAAATTTAGTGGCTTAAATCAACAAAAACATGTCATTTTATACTTCTGAAGGTCAAGGGTTTAAAATGGGTCCACAAGTCTATGTTTCCTCTGGGAGCTTCGGGGGAGAATCTAATTCCTTTCCTTTCCCAGTTTCAAGATTCAGCCAACATCCTTTGGCTCATGGCCCACTTCCTCCACCTTCAAAGTCAGCAGCATAGCCAGAATCTTCTCTCATTTATTATCTCCTGTCTCTTTTATTAGAACACTTGTAATTAAATTTGGCCAATGCCAAGATCAACCCTCAATCTCAAGATCCTTGATTTAGTCAAAATAGATTCATTTAACCCAAAACAATTGCAAAGTTGCTTTTGCTATGTGAAATAATATAAACATAGGTTATGGGTATTAAGATGTGACCATCTTTAGTGAGAAAGGGGAGAAAGGGGTGATATCATTCTGTCTGCTGTAGGTAGGTCTTTACTGACAAATACAGATTATGTTAAGAGATTAGGAGCTCAGGATATAGCTCAAGTTTAAAGTACATGCCGAGTGTATTTAATTCCCTGACTTCCATCCCCCAGCACACATGGCCATCCTTCCCCACTTTCTCAAACCCCCATTAATGATGCTTGTGGTCTTGGTGGACTCTGCCACACCACAGAGCTGATCAGAGCATTGTAGAGAATGGTTTGGTACTGTTGCGGATGGCCCCTAGAAAAATTTAAAGAAGAGATATTCGAGGGTCAGGTAGATGGTACAGGGGCTAAGGTGCATGCCTTGACTGATCTCAGTTCAATCCCAGCAATGAATGTCTCCCTGGGCATCTCCAGGTGTAGCCATTGGAGCCTCTGATGACTGTCAGGGCCTTAAACCTCAGGGCCCAAGCAACGCTGCATCCTCAAGCCCTCACATTGTACAAACTAAGTAACTTTGGAAGTGGTCCCTGGGCCCTTAAGCACTGCTTAGAATACCGCCCCCCACCACGAGATCTTCTTTCGCTTTCATTAGTATACTTTTAGTTTCTGATACCATATGGTCAATTGTAATATTTTAATTATTTATTAACCCACTAAATACCCATCTTCCAGAATTGCCGTACCATATTTGATAGGGTTCAAATATGGTTTGAACCATGGTAACACCTACAAGGTCGATTAGAGGCCGCCCCAAAAGCC